TGGCAACTCTCTTATTGCTGTTGACGTTTCCACTCTATTATTGGAAAACTTTGGGAAAACTATGGAACAAAAAAACACATTCTGTCAGACATTTAACTAATCAGTGTTAATGTGATCTAAGCCAAGATATTTTAATGTAATGTTTTGGTTGATTGTATGGCATGTAGTGTCTGTGTTGTTTTAGTTTCATAATTGCCTGTGGAGAAGCTATTTTAGAAATACTAAACCCATGACTCTCCAAATTTTGGAGACCCCATCTCCCAGCATCCTTTACTTTCACCACAGGGTATGCTAGCCCAGGCTGCTGAGATTTTGGTTCAGCCAGACTTGAATAGACACAGCTTTCCAAATCTTGTTCTAAGCCAAAATAATATTGAAAAAATAGTGCTTGGTTAGAGAAACCTGACACTTTCCCTAGTGAAAGTATCCATTTAATGGTCTGGTGAGACTTTGGGTCTTTTACCTTTAAGTAACTAGGAAAACTAAAGTAATGACAAGATTTGTCATGGATGGGAAACCTGGTTATGCAGTAGAGATCCCTTTAAGTTTCTACTGACGCATCTCTTCCTCTCCCTTCCCGCTCTGCCTTTTGTACTCTTACTATACTGAGCTTCAGTGTCCAGCCATTCTAAATGAGGCTGTACCATTTTAATGATTTAACCTAGCACACATGGTCCTTGTAAGGGTATCATGTGTTTCTTGAGTTCCTTCCAGGAAATGGAAGATGTCAGTGAATCAACAAGCTGCATGTCCTTTTCTGTAGCCTGCTTATTCTAGGCCTCTGAGGGATTGCACACTCATTTTTTTGCAGGAACGGCCTTTGTCCTGTGGAGGAGCAAGCTGTGTTGGCTATATGAAATGTACAGGAGTCATGATAGTCTCTGAAATAGTTGGAAGATGGCTTTGTTTCCAACATGGTGCTTTGAGTGCTGGAGATTAGGAGAAGTCTCTTTATGTCTAGAGAAAGGGAAACGATATCCTTAACTTGAGATTCCCGCCAAGTCTCACATACGAAGTAGCTTTCATATACCATTTTTTAGAATTTATCCACATCTTCTGTTTTTTCTCCCTTTCTTTCAGGTATGAGAATTTCCAAAGACGACTAACTCAAAACCCTTTTTTTTGGAAAACATAATCCTGAGTCAATTCCTTGGAAGTTCACTCTAGCAACCAGACAGAGCTTAAAAGATGCAATACACTGAGCCTGCTGAAGGATACCTGGATGAATTAATATGTTTGAGATGAAGAGAGAAAAAAACCCTCACTTTTTGTAATACTTCTGGGACTTCATTTAAAATTAAAACATAAAGAGTAGTCATTGCAGCGTGTCATGTTTTCAAGTTAAAAACTATGAACCTAGAAACCTATGACATGTACAGAAAACATGGTCAATAATATTAACAAGCATAAAGCTTTTGATTTGGTTTTTCTTTCATGCTTAGAGACTGATGTTGTTATGCAACATGTTTGCTTTTAAAGGTTCGTTAATAGCTTGTATAACTTCTAAATGTCCTGTTCAGTTAATTCTGCCTTACAGTAGTCGATTTGATTATTTGGTTTTCATGTTCAAAACAAATAGTTTCATCAGTAGCCATGACAAACATCATATCCTTCTGACTATATATTCCTGTTTAATTCTATCTGTGTACTTCTTTAGCATAGAGAGATGGGGACAGTGGAGTGGGGGACAATGGGACATCTATTACAGTCTTTCTTAGGGCCTGCTCTGAAGGACTGTCTGACAATATGTCCCATGAATTGTTTCCAGGTTAAGGTTGTAGAAGGTTGTAGTTGTTGATTCACCTGAACCTGTTGACCAGGATTTCTCCAAGCTTTATTTGTATAATGCAGAAGCCTTATGTACAGGGGCTTGATTCATTTTTGAGGGCAACTCAGAGCCACCTTTAAAATGCACTGTGCCCATTCTTCGGGGAGAGGGCAATCAAGAGCCACCTACAAAATGCCCCTTGACTGTGGAGAGAACAAATAGGGAATCTCACCCCTTCAAAAAGGTCAGTCTATCTCCTCAAAAATGAAAGCAGATTCCAGTTGGTTGTCCATAGGTCTGGCCCAGCATCTTAAAAGCTGTCTTGGGACCAGTGGGTGGGTGGGGGGGAGGAGATGAACAGCAGAAGGCTAGATACTTTCCCACTCTTTTATAAACCTTGGGAAAATTTGTTCCAGCCCCATTTTCAAACCAACCTCCTATTCTGCCTTGTGCTCTGTGCATTATCACTTATGTTTTTAGTGTGGATGGTCTGTAAAGAATGCATTTCTGAATTCTAAGCATTAGGTTCAGCTGCCTCCAGGTTTTTTCTGTTTTGTCTTGGGAGTATCAGTGAAACCTTGCTGTTTTTTCTTTGAAAAGCTTGGATGCTCATTCTCCTTAAGCATTCACAGAAAAGGGGACTTTCACCTTTTATATATGAGGTTGAGATTCATCAGGAGATTCCACTGATGGCAGCAGGAGGAAATTCTTGCTTACTTCCCCCACCCCGCTTTGCGGTCTGCCCTCCTGTGGGCAGAAGATGATCAGAAGGCAAGACTTAAAAGGCGAGCTGTCATAATCATTTAGGACAGTCCTATTTTTATGTATGGAATAGACATTAGTGAATAAAGATAAATACACAAATATCTTTTTTTAAACTGAGCTACATTTTGCTGATGTAAAAATATAATTTGAGATCTATAGTGTGATTTCTTCTAACTGCAGCTGCAGTACAATGTTACTCAAAAGTTTATATACTTGTTCCAGCAGAACCAAATAAGTTAATAAGAATTGTTGGGATCAACGGAGCAGCAAAAATGTGTTAGTAGTCTTAGGTTTATCTTGTATATGTTAATATTTCTAATCATTTATCTTCATTAGCAATACATATGCAGAACTGTTTTGGGGAGGGGATAAAACTAATATGTTGAACAATAGGAAAGATAATTGATGGGTATGAAATTAGTATTTCTGGCAGCATTTTTGATTTCTCATGTTTTACTCCAATTTTCTTCTGTTATAATACATGGGCAAGCTTCCATTGTTCTAAATAATAGTAACTTAGAAATCTCAGAAATTAATTCATACTAAGCTGATGCATGCCTGCGCCCTCATCCAGTTTCTGTTGACAGAAGGTTTGAAGTTTCAGTTTACTAGCAGCTGTTGCCTTTATGTTAAGCACCATGTTTTCTTGGTAACATAAAAATATAGTAAGATTATTAATAATCAGAAGAGGCTGCATGTTAATCCTATAGAAGAGAGTAGCAGCATCTTAGCCTAGATTTGCTGATATGTGATGGTTTTATGTCAACAGATGGCAGCACCTAGCAAACCTTGGCTAGTTTCAAAAAAGCTAAGGAGTATGGTGTTTCATTACTGGATGGGAGACCACTAGGAAAGGCCAGGTATGCGGATTAAATCAGGAAGTTGAAAAGACATTCCAGAAAAAGGCCACATTCACATTATCCCAGGATAGGTACCTGGCCATATCCATGAAGTCACCAAGGGCCAAGTTGGATTGGGATGAGATTTCATTCATTCATTCATTCATTCATTCATTCATTCATTCATTCATTCATTTATTTAATGTATAGGGCTGCCCACCTTACATAGGTAACTCTGGGTGACTTTTCTTTTAAGGTGTTATAAATTAGAATCCACACAATGAGATGCATAATCGAGCCCTAACTTCAGCTGTCAAAGACAGAGTCAAAATAACGTGTCCCAAGAAGTGGATCCTCTAGGGTACAGTAAGTCTACGTCTCACAGATTTCATGATTATTTTCACTTTATGCATATGTTCTGTTACCTGATGGTTCAACTTGTTAGATTCAATGAGCAGGTAAAATACCGCACTTTAAAAACACACCTTTTATATAATGTCTGCCTTGGTCATCCACGAAATGGGAGGCAGGAAAGCTTAAACTATCATAAATGTGTTAGTTTTTAAGATACCACAACGCTTTTGCTTTGAGTTTGTTTTTGCTGCAAAGGAGCAACACTTTGCCACACTTCCGAAATCTCCACTCAGGTACTGATAAGAAAGATGGCCAACGATGGCAGTCAGCTGTGCAGTCCCTGGGAGGGAGTTGCATTGAACTGAGTATGTGTTTCCCTTGTCTTGAGTTTTCATACATACATAGGACTTCCCTGCCCTCTGGGCCTCTGTTCAATTTCTTAGCCCAAGATTGTTTCTAAACAAGACATTTTGAACTAAACAAGACATTATATAAAAGGTGTGTTTTTAAAGTGCAGTATTTTACCTGCTCATTGAATCTAACAAGTTGAACCATCAGGTAATAGAACATATGCATAAAGTGAGAATAACCATGGAATCTGTGAGACGCGTTGGAGAAGACTCCTGAGACTACCATGGACGGTCAAGAAAACAAACCGATGGATCATCGAACAAATCAACCCAGAGTTCTCACTTGAGGCATAAATGGCCAGGCTCAAATTATCATATTTTGGACACGTTATGCAAAGAGCCAGCTCTCTGGAGAAGACTTTGATGCTGCAAAAGGTGGAAGGGAAGAGATGAAAAGGACGACCAGCAGCAAGGTGGATGGCCTCAGGTACAGTGCTGATGAGTGCACCTTTGGAAGAGAAGGACCAGGTTAGGGACAGATCGTCATGGAGAAAATCTGTGGGGCTGCTAAGAGTGGGCACCAACCTGATGGCACCTAATCAGTGAATCAGTCAAACAAACAAACAAGCCATGATTGTATCGGTCCTTCCCTGATTATTCCCTTCTTGCTTTCTGGACGATCTTTCTTCGTCCCCTCTAACAGCGAAAGAGCGTCTAAAGGAGCCTGGAGGATTCTGAGTCGGACTCTCGTCCCGGCAGGACAATTCATGCAAAGCTGGGCGAGGAATCCTCGATTGTGACGTCACTCCTAGTAACAAGTGAGTGAGGCTCGCGTCCTAGCGACGGCCCCGCCCCTCCCTTCCCATTCATGAGCCCGCCCCGAGCGCTCTGAATGCCCTGCGTTTCGCAGAGTTTCTTCGCCCCCGTCTCTCTTTCAAGAAACCGAGTTTCGCTTCTTGCCTGGATGGGGAGGAGGAGAGCAAGAGAAGGGAAATGGGGCGACTTTGCTGAGGCCGTGCTTTAAAATCAAGTCAGCAGGAGAACGAAAATTAGGAAGCATGTGACTGCAATTCCCCCCGCCCCCCCGCACGAATCGGCCTCTGTACCTCGACCTCTCACTCGCTTTTCGCCTCAGTAAAGATAAAGGCCAAGGATGTAAAAATGTTGGACACGATCCATAATGCAATCACAGAGGGGAGCAAGAACCTGTTTCTGACACTTCCCAAGCTCACTTCAGAAGGTAAAGTTTATTTAATTGTTGCATAAAAAAAAAAAAAAGAATATAGGGCTGTGAATGGCTTTTCGGGGTATATCTTTAAATATCCCTAGTCTTTACTCTCCCGGTGTTTGAATACGGCAGTAAGTTTCTGAAAATATGAAATGGAAATGTTTCTTCAGGCAATACTGGCCCAGTTAGCCAAGCTGGCGGGCGAGTTTTGTGTGGAAGATGGATGGCGGATCTAAATATCCATTCCAGTAAATCAGTAACGTTTCTAAATAGATGTCTCTCTGGTGCTTCAGTTCCATTTCCCCCCCTTTAATATGTATTTTTTTTGGGGGGGGGACTGTACTAGTAAAGAAGCAGCTGGAAAATAAAGGAGGAAAAGTCTCTATCCTCCCCGAAGCATGAGAAATATCTACAATCCTTGTCTAGAAGGCTGATGGACAGGTTAGTGCATTTGGGGGTGGAAAGATGTGTGAACGCTGTTCTGCAAATTCCTGGATCAGGAGCTGGGGTTCCTTCAGTATCACCCTGGGTTTCCCCTTTGAGTTGCTCTCTTGCTTCTCATTTTCGTTGGCGGTGGGGGGGGGATCTCACAGTTGTGGTGGAAAAGTGGTAAACACAACCTGGCTGTTTCTGGCCTTGTGGAATTTGGGGGCCCAGGAAAAAGAAGCCAGGGATGAGAGACCCTCTGTTTCCATGAGAGATTTTAGGATGGCCGCTGGTCACCAAAAAGAAGCTTGCCTTGGGGTCCAATCACCCCACGTCTCGGAGATCCCAGACTGGATCTGCTGTCTTTGGTAAAACAAGCTGACTAAAGAAAAATAAACTCCTACCAGAAGTTAGAAAAATGTCTGGGTTGAGTGATGGCCTTTTAAGATTTTCCCTTGGTATCTGTTTCTAGGTGGACGGTTAGTGGTATCGTAAAGAGCAGGGGTTTCAAAGAAGTCAGTATGGCTGCAGTTGAAGCCCCCACCCTCTTTTACATACCCCTGTTAATACTTATGTGGCACAAGCAAGCGTGCAAAGAAAAAAGAATCTCGTGGCGCTAGCTTTCATAAATTAGAACTCTACTGGCATTATTACTTCGTATCTTTGATGAAGTTTATTCAAGTCCAGAAGATCCACATCAGCCATTTTATTCAAGTCCTTTGAACTGTACTTCAGGAGAGTCTGCCTTTCTTTCCCCACTAGATGGCAGCAGCAAGCTATTTTGGCTGATCTCAAACAACTAAGCAGGGTCAGTCCAGGATAATATTGGGTGGGAGACAACCGGGAGATTTCAGGGCCACAAGCTAGACTGCGGGCAGACAGAAGCCATTCTGGAGGAGGGCAAGGGCAAAGCAGAAACGACAGCGATGTGTCTGTTAGTCAGTAGAGAGCTACATACTATACTCTTATCGGGAGTTGAGTTTGACTTGAAGGAGGGTTGGGTATAATAATAATAATAAAGCCAGG